GACAGGACAGGGCAAGCATTTAATCCTGCTTCCCCAGAACATTGTCCTAGTCACCAATGATCTGTGATTCAAGAGTTTCCTGAGAAAATCACTGCCTTTCTGTTAAGAAGTTTTGGATTGTTCTTTGATCTATGAACTAGTCCAATTTCTTTTCATGTATTTGTGAACTTTTAACATTCATAACACCCCTCATGTTTCACACCTACTTTGCATGGTGTGAAGAAGTTTAGAACAAATGAAAGGAAGTGCTTTTTCTTCAATGGATAATTACATTGTCACTGGATGTTGTGGTTGTCAAAGTGGTAGTTCCAAGAGCAGTTTTACAAAATCATGGAAAGAAAATCCAGCTGCAGTGCCTAAATGCAAAAATATGATTGTTGGCTTTGAAAGTACATAGGTTGCAGATACCTGAAAAGAGATAGGGCACCTCAGGAGAAGCATGCCCTGTCCATAAACCCAGGCATGGGATGTTAACCTGATTGACCTTTGTTGTAGCGCAGAGCAGTTGTCCGTATGTTCTTCACTGGATTGTCTGTATTGCTTGATAACTTTAAAAAAGTGAATAAAAATTGGGCAAAAATCGTTTTGGTGTTCCTCATCTCTTAGCTCCTTTCATGCTGATAGTCTAGCATGGAGTTAGTTCCTGAGCAAGATTTTGCAGAGGATAGGAATAAGGCTTTGTACCTCTGTTCTCTCTCTGTTCAAGGAAATCTGATCAGATATTTATGAGCAATTGCTTCTTTTTCTGATGATATTCAGTGCAGAGTGCTGCTGAAAATTCTCATATCACTTGAAAAAGTTTGATATTTCATTATGTAGATGACAGCTGTTTGTTATTTGCTTTTAGCAGAAAAGATCTCTAACCTCAGTAGCCAGTAGCTCAATAGATACCAGAATTGTTCCTCGGGTTTTCTTTTACTCAGACAAGTACAGTTGTTCCAGAATATAGCTAATTGAGAAACCATTGGGTATAGCTATCCAACAGCTAGAAATCTAAATCATACATCTGACCGGTGCATTAGTTCACAGTTGTTATCGTTGCTATGTGAATCTAACAAGATCAGTTAAATACAAGTATCTGCTCTTCTGCTAGTCTTATAATTACTCAAACCTGTCAATATTACAGGAGTCAACAAAGCTTTATGTATCAGACCCATACAAAATTCCCTTCTGCGTGCTAAGGATTTGCACTGTGTGATGCTTACGCCCGGCGGGTCTGAGCCCACGCCCCGACATCTCTCTCTCTGTCTGCCAGACAACCTTCCCGGCAGCCAGCAACCCTCACAAGTCAGTTTGGCACCCTCTCCTGACTTCAGCGATGTCTGTTCTTCGCGTGGGACACCCTGCCTCTTGGCTGCGGAGGGCCTTTGCATAGAGGAGAGAAGGTCTCGCTCATGTATTCAGCTGCTGTGCTGTTCCCTCCAGAAAGGTTTCTTGTCCTTGTGCACCCCTATGCTTCAGGCAGTACCTTCTCCCTGTACATTCAGACCTCTGTCTCGGTGGAGGAAGGTAGTTTTTCTTTGCCAGCCTCTCCTTCGGAGAGGGTTCAGGAAGGTTAACACTTCAATCCCAAAACTTGGTCAACTCCTCTCCTATGCAGCGGTTCATCTGGCTATTTTTCTTGATCAAAAGAAGTGGTTATGTTTCCTTGGAAATGGAAACTACGCCTTTGTCAGGTGTCACCTGTGATATTTATCAGTCTTTATCTCGGAGAGAGGCAGGACTTTTCACAGACCTTTGCTTTGTGATTTGCCGGTATTTCTCCTTGTGACTTGTCCATGTAATCTGTATCAAGTCAGTATACTAAGAGATACATTTAATGCAATTATTTCATTAGTATGAATGTTTGCTATTTATGTATGGCTTGTTACTGGCTTTTGGCTGAGACTAAGCACCGCAATTAACTTGTTTGAGGTGAATAATTCTCAGCCCCTTCCTCAGAAGAAAATTGTAGCATGTACCGAATCACATGTTTTTGAAATTCCAGTTACGGTAAAACCACATTTCTCCAGTGAAAGCTATTGCCACCATCCTCAGTGTTTCAGTGTGCAGTCAAGATCAGCAGCACAGCATGCCTATGTCTCTTTATATATGACTCAAAAGCGAGCTGGCTGCAGTTCAGCTCAACAAAATAGAGATGTCGATGACAATTTAGGTGAAAGAGCAAAACTATCTAGCAAAAGCAGTGTTGGCTCCTTCAGGTGATATTTTTCATCATTTAAGTTTGTGACTTTTTATGAGGGATTCTTTCCCCTTTGTTGCTGTTAGTCATGCTCCAGTTAATAAGCCAGTAAGCTTCTTCTCATCCACATGTGGCCAGGACTTTCTAGCCTCTGCTTTTTAATGTGGATTTTGGTTCTTACACAGTCTTTTGTTGTACTGTAATTAGATTGCTGCATAGCGTTGCTCCTGGACCTAGATGTAGTCACTTGGCGACAAAAATTCAAGAACTCATTTGGTTGTAATACGGTGGGAATTTCGGTGGTGTCTGTGTTTCTTGTCCTTCAACAATGTTGCCTGCTTCTAGAGTCATGTATGTAGAGTTTGCCAGCAGGAGATCATATGCAGCAACGGTGGATGTCTGGGGTCTCTGAAAAAGTCAAGTTGTTAAACGGGCTTCAGGAACATGCTAAAGATATGTTCCTCAGGCTAGAGGCAGGAAGAAACCTTTTCTAACTCCTTGTCTCTCTGGCTTGGTAGGGCTATTATTTTTATCTGAATGTTCATTTTTTAGTGCTTGTGACAGACTGTTCTGTTGCTTGCAGGAAAGAATGTTATACGCAGTGTGTATTGTGAAAAGTGATGTTAAACAAATGTGAAAGTCTTCTTTCTCCCATCTTTCTCATTTTTCCTGTCTTTTCTGTCCAGTCGTGGCCAGCCACAGTATTAAGTCCTTTTTCTTTCTCTCTGAGACGTACTTTGGACTATTTTGGAAGTTTTACTCAAGGAACAGAGTTCTGTAATTATTCGTGGTGGCCTAAAAGAGAGTGAGCTGAAGCTACTCAGGAAGAAAGTAGGAAGATGAAACCACAGTAGGCTTTTAACTGAGTCACACTGAGGAGAAGCCCACAGGTTATTGTACGTACTTTGGACTAATCAGTAATATATCTTGGCAGTGTGAACCTTTCACTTTGGGAGAGACAAATCTTCCAGCATACCTTCCCAGGAGATCTCTGTATGATTGAATAAGTCTTGTTTTCATGCGAGTATTTTTATAAACATGAAAAGATCAAATAAATAAGAAAGAAAAAGCCTTGTCATAATAGCAGTTCTGGATCTTCCAGTAAATTGACCTACCAGGATCCTTAACTTGCATGATGTTACTATAGTGAGAAATAATTTGTAGGCAAATAGTTAAAAGATGCATCAGTGGTTTTTGATGTAAGGGTGAATTTTAGTATGGATTTTACTTCAGGTAACAGACCATAGGTATTTATCATTTAGAATACAGAATTTTATTTCCCCATAACTTACCACGTGTGTAGCACTTCATGGGCTACAGCTTCTAACTGTTATTTTGCTAGCATCATCCTCCTTATTTCATATATGACTTGTATTTTTCTTAAACTTATTCAGCAATAAGCTGAAAACACATGACATAATGTGAAAATTAAATAATTATATTAGCCGTTTTTAAGTTGGTATGAAAATCAGTTCAGTAATCTTTGTTGCTGCAGCTTGAAATGGTGACTTGTGTGTGAGGGCAAAGATACGGGTAAATGTCGATTAAGTTCGGTTACTGAAATCTCTAGTGTCCTTGGCTGCCCATAAAAGTAAAGAAGCAGCTGAGACTTCTAGTTGTGCTTGGAATAAACTACTTTTTAACTAGGGGTGGAGAAGTAAGACTGGAGGATGTTGCTTTTTGCAGTAACCACAATCTTAATTCCTTCACAATGTGAGCTTGCCACCAATCCATCAAACTGACAGGGGAGCCTCTGCCACACTGAATGATGGGGTTTTTTCTGTAATAAGAAGCAAAATGTTGTGCTACGTTATGCAATTTTAAAAAGTTTATGCGTTAAAAATCTGTATATGTTTGAATAAGTGGGAGCAATAATTCTATTCCTCCAGATAGAATGCAAATACAATAATTTTTCTTTTAGAATATTAATTCACTAAGAAGATTAATATAAGCTTGCAAACTTCTTAGTCAAAATCTTTATTCTCTCAACAGAATGCAATACAATTACTACTTGGATACTGATAGTAAATGGACTGTTTTATTGAATTGTCATAAAGAAATATTGGAGGCTTGTGTATGATAGTTCTTACAAAGACTATGTTTGAGGAAGACTTTGTAGAGGAGGCAAAAGAAGAGCAGTGGCAGCTACCATTATAGTCTGTTGGCACTCTTGACTGTCATTAAATTTTGGAATCAAATTCTTAACTTCAGGTAGGTGTTTTATTAATACTCTACTACAAGCTCAAGAATTAAGCCATGACTACATAAGTTATTACAAATGATTGATACTACTCCATTCAAGGACTGATTTTCATATCTTTTGCAATACTGACTAGCATCACCCTTTGTTTCTTAGTTTTCAGTTCTAGTCTCCGTTTATGGGAAAATACTTTATGCCTGAAATAATGATCAAGCGAATTATTGAAAGGCACCTCAGAAGGTCATTTAGTCCAGCCTTCTGCTCAAAGCAGGGTGAGATAAGAGAGCAGACCAATTAATTCTGAACTCTTTAAAAGAATATTCTTTTGATGTTTTTTGAACACTTTGTGTTGTCCTTCTAAAAGTCAGGCTCTCTACTACATGTTTTTGCACAGAATACTGAGGTTGGACATTAAGGAGAGATTATTTGGGAGTCATCTTTAGAGACAGAACTTTCATTACAGAGATCAGAAGTAGTGTCAAACTTTCCTCCAGCTATGGAAGTCCTGCTGACATCTGGTGTTATATTCTAAATTGTGCTTTGGGCAAAGGTAGCTCTGAATGTAGAAAAGGTTTCAGTCAACTGCCTTTTGTTGGGGCTTTGTTTATCCTTTGCTAAATGGTGGTATCAAAATTCAGATGTTGCAGCTTTGGCTTGGAAGAAAGACATAAGGGATTTTGAACGACGTAAGGAGGGGTTTTCCTGTACTTGTACATTAGGGGTCCAGAACAGAGTGCTCAAAATTTTCATGTTTGGATCTTAAGATGTTATATATTGTAGAATTTTTACATCAGTGTAACCCCTGAATATTTTTCCTGCCAGTAGTTTATTTCTTAGTTAATTACGTTATTTGTGACATTGAATATTGCTTCTTCTTGTTTTTCCAGTGCGACAATGCAAAAGGACTCAAAGCCTTCTATGATGCAATAAAATACGGACCTAATCATCTGATGGTTTTTGGTGGCGTGTGTGCAACAGTTACTTCTATCATTGCTGAATCTCTAAAGGGATGGAATTTGGTTCAGGTAAGGCACGGAATAGAATGTATTCAAATGCTGACTATCTTGTATCTCTATCTTTTTTTATACTTAGAAACCTAGTATTTAATGCTTTTCAAGCTTAACATTTTATGTAATTGGTATATCTCAGTTTTGAAGGTCAGTGAAGTGATGTGTAAAGAAGAACAGCTACTTCTGTATAGCACTAGATTTTGACCTTGTGCTCAAAACACTTGTGAGTATGAGGCAGGAGTCATGTGTCTCGGTAGATTAACTAAATAAAACAAATTTAATCAATCTCAAAAAGCAACCTAAATGAAATGAAGTCCAGTCATGGTAGGTGAGCAAATCTAGGACTTATCCAAAATTAGATGAAACAACTTGTCAGGCCTTAAATTATGGTACACTGGGGTCTTTACTTGATCTCTACTCAGTCATAACGCAATAATTCATATTGACTTTAAAAGTGTTGGAAGTGCATAAATTGTAAGTAGTAACTAGGTACGTATCTCAGTATTTGACTCACAAATCACATTTATTCCCAGCTGTTCTTCTTTCTGACTTTCTCAAAGGTCAAGTTTGTGGAAAGGTTCCCTCTGCTGTGGAATCAGAATTTATTAATACTAATCTTTGAAATGCAGATGATAACAGCATGATTTTCTTCATTTATTCAATCATTGGTCCAGTGATGATCTTTGGATTGATGGTTGTTCATGCAAAGAAGCCAGCCAGTTTTGCTTTTCAGATGTGGAAATGCCCTGGCTTCCTACTCAATATTCATATTGCCCAAAGATAAGTTTGTATCATTTTTATTAAAATATATAAATAATTCTATAGCAAAATAATAAAATAATAGTATATAACAATTACCTGAGGTTTCAGTTACAAACAGACTCCTCTTTTCCACCTGGAATACTCACTGAGGTTAGTGCAGAATGAACAAATGAGGCATAATTACGTTTGAAGAAGATGATGATCAGAGTACAAATGGGAAAATCTTAGGAGGATAATTAAAGTAGCTTGTTAACTGTGTTTGCAATGCTTGTCATATCAGATCTTTTTTCCTTATGCTTCAGGATTTTTTCTGATGTGAAAAACATCAGTTCTACTATGGAAACAAAATAACGGTTTTTCTCTGGGGAGAATGGAAAAAGCAATAGAAAACTTGAAACTATTGTTTAACACTCTCTCTTAAAAATGGCCTAGTCCATGGCCTATAATGAAGTATGTAGCTGGAGCTCTGGATTTTTTTTTGGAATTGGTCACATGGAACTTCCTGATGATGTTGGGTGTTTTAAGGAGTTAGATTTTGTTGTGCTAAATCCCTTTCATTTGCAGTCAAGTTCTGCCTGCTAAGGTCTGAAAATCAATTTGTTAATGCAGTTGCTCAGTCAATAAGGAAGGGCAATTCGAAATCTTCCATTTGCTTTTAAAGGCCTGAATTTGTCAATATACGTGTTAACTTGTACAATGGTATGAAGCGTTGCTACCAGACTGCATCTATTTCTTTGTATTTAACCACTACAGCTGTGACTAAGTCTTAAACATTATTAATGATATCAGTACATCAAGGGATTCTCTGCTACTTGGACTTAGTATCCTGCAGGCACTAGATAAATCCTCACATGGCATAACTCCACTTCATGTTAGGTTTTTGTATATTGATTGACTGAATGATGAAAGAACACAAATGACAGCATGGCTAGGGAGTGTGGTGAGGCTTAGTGGATGGTTTAGTAGGAACAGAAACAGTCTAAATAGACTTTGTGAAATTGTTATGTCATACACTAACAGCAAAATGTGTGTCTGTAAATCAGCAGGCACAGCATGTATAATATACACTAGGGAAATAGAATACAAATCCTTCCACTCCTTTGGATCCACTGTCATGAACATCTTTGATTAAAAGCATAACTGAACTAGAAGTAATAGATAGAAATCTGTAGTTCTTGGAAATGGAGCAATAATATTCAACTTGATAAAATACAAGGCTGTCCTCCCTCAAAACTTGAAACTTCACGTCAGGGAATCACAGCAAACTCATGTAAATAGTTACATGAATTTGTGATCATGATGAAATAATTTTAAGTCGCAATCAAGAGGGTAAACAACATATAGACAAAGACTAACCTGACATTGTAGTGTTGAATAGAGGATATGCATTTGGGTGTCTGACTCCATCGTTGTTTCCCTGTGCAGGCAGTCATGAAAAGAGACCTCTCAACCCTAGCAAGAATATTTGGTTTGATTTACACAGGTGTCATGTGGTTGAGCAAAGTGATGACTGTCTTCTACACAAGAGAAATGCAGGGTGATACTGGTAGTACTGGGAGGAGTAGGGAAGAAAAGAATAACAGGATACAATAACAGAAAGAATACTTTCCTTAGCAAATACAGCATGAGGCTGACTGCCTCCAAAACTTCTCTGAAAGCCCGTTAGCCCTGAATTCCAAGTTTCTGGGTGACTGCTTTTCCTCTGTTTGGGGGAATTGTTCTTTTCTGCCTCTTCCTCATTTTCTACAGCAAAAAGTCTCCAAAAACAAACAACGAAATAGAAGACAAAGAATACAAATCTGCTAGAAATTGTCACACTGTATTTGCTACTCAGGCAACATTGTAGTAGTGATGAGATGAGGAAAAAAAGGAAATAAATTTTTGCAAGGCTGCTTCAGTCTCTACTGTCCTTACTGTATGCTGTTGATAATGACACTATCTTTTTGACTTTTACTTAACTGTTTAATTCAGGTCACTGATGGCCTGCAACAATGTGAAATAGGGAAGACCATCAGAGTTTGAGAAGGGTCTCAGTCTGAAGGTGACTTGCTTTACTTCTGTGCCATATCTAAACAGAGGGTATTTTTCCTCCCCTGTCTTGACAAATTTTAATTCACTCGTGATTGGCAACAGAATGGGAGATTCTGTTCTCAGTTGGCTGCCTTAAACTGCTGGCTGATTTAATTATCTCTTATTGTAAAAAAATTAATGATTTTTTTAATGGAGCATTTGTGTCTGTGGAAAGAGCAAGTTGTTTTAGCCTGCAAACACTTCTTTCATCCTTAAGGGCTTTCACTGAGGTGTGTTAGGTGACACAACCTGCAAACTGTTTTAGGAACGTACATTCTCAGTAGGACAGATGCGGACAGCCATTCATTAGCTTCTAAAATCCAACAAATGAAAAGCTTTCCCATGGGTAATCTCTGTGTGCCAGTAGTCCTTACTTTGTTGACTGACAGTCTGAGCATGGGCTGAACATTGCACGTGCGACTTTGATCTCCAGTCTGTGGTGTGGAATCCATTTGAACCTTTGATATTTTTGTTAAAAAGTGTCAGTAATATTCTATGTATCTGACAGTAGGTCATAAAGGCATCAAGGTATAATACTGGGCAGTTGCTGTGCTGTAGGGGGAAGATTTTGATGTCAAGTTCTTCTGGATTCATCTTACCGCCATTCCATTTCAATGTATATTCAAGGCCATTAGAGCGAAGAAGAATCATTAACAGTATCTACAATATATTGTAAAAGACCAGTTATATGTTTTTATTTCGTGCACGGAATCATTCCTGC